GTTTTTAGCATTAATTTCCAACTGAAAAGTTAACTCCTGGGACTATATGATTTGCCTGTGCCTAAGAAAGGCAATTATGTGATTTTTTTTTTTATATACACTTTATTAATGAGTGAGATAAAATGAGGAAAAAAGAGAGAGAGAAAAGGAAAAAGCTAGCAAGAGAAAGAGAGAACATGAGAAAGAACTCAAGAAAATATAAGAGAGCAACAATAAAGTGAAAAATTAAAGCAGTAGTAAACTGTTTAACTTGTGCCTACAGGTAAGTCTATGATAAAGCATGTCTGTAGGTACAGCGAACATCCCTAAACATGCACCGTTTAGGAGATATTTACATGTGTAGTAGCACTACCTGCAAATGCCCACTGTGCTCTCATTTAGAGAGCTGTGCCACGGTCCTGACTCCCATGCACACGCGTGGGAGTGACGTCCTCGCAGCTCAACCATTCAAGCTGCCAGAGCCTGCAAACTCAGAAGGAAGATGGGGTAAAGATATATTCCCTGTCAGTGATGACATAGTGTACCTGGAGGGATACCCTTTTTAGGTAAGTCTGCATACTAGAACATTATACCAAGAGCCTGTGTTTTGTTTTTCTTAGCATGGCTTAGTACCACTTTAAGGAAGAGAAAACCAGAGACAAAAAAATAAGAGAGAGAGAGAGAAAGACTAAAGAATGAGAGAGCAAAAAAAAGTCAAAATTATTGTAGGAATATAAATGTTTTTGAATATTCAGGCATGGAAGGCTTTTGAAAAATTTACCAGGCCTGGTCATACTAAGGTTGAGAATTACTGCAGTAAGTCAAAGAGAACTCAACCATTCTTCAGCAGCTACTGAAAATGGAAAATCCAGTTTTGGGTTGATCCTTTATGCTAAACAACACTTGGTCTACTAAAAATTATAATATGCAGCATTACATTTTTACTAACCATGAGCTTTCTTTTAGGCATTAAGTCTTGTGTTCTCAATTAATTTGGTGCACAGAAGAAGAAACTGAATTTTTTATTTATCTTTATTTGCACTAATACAAATGCAGACTTATTATGGGTTAGTGTTTCTGACCTCTCTTCATTTGCAGCATCCAATTCATTTTACAATGTCAATTATATTTATAACTAAAATACAACATAATAAACACTATTATTTTTATTAACAGCAGGAATCATTTAGAAGTGACAATGCTACAGTTGCATTATTTTTTGGCACAAAAAGTCCTACATGCACAAATTAAATTTCCACATATTTTTGAGGGGGTAAATGTAATGCTCACTGCTCTGCACCCTGTATGAATAACAAAGAGCAAATGTTAAAACCAGCTCTCCTGGCAGCAGAAGATTGGAACGCTAGTAGTTACACTTTCCCCATGTGTGCCACAATAGGATAACAAGCTACAGCCACTGAAACACTGTCATAAATGTAATTTACGAAATTTACCCAACAATTTAAATGTTTTACTAAAATAGTGTACGGCTGGTATAGTTAAATGGTGCAGGGACAATAACATACACGTGGGATAGTGCAATACACTATGGGGTCTGCATATTCTACATACACCACACACAGCTATGTAAATTAGTGCAGGATTCATGTTGATCCTGCTAACATTTACTTACAGGTTGTACTAAACAAAATAGAACTTTGCAGAGTATTAATTGAGTCCTATAATTTTTAATCCCAGATAAACTTGGGAGTGGTTTGAGTTGAGAACTATTTTTACCATGCAGATGGATTCAGAGCAGATAGCATATTTAATTATCTATAAAACCTGTGAATATAATAGCTTTATTGCCGTATTGTCTGACTGTATATTTATAACGATAACAATTTTTGCTGTTTGATAGGTACAATTGAATATTTTTATAACTCTGATTGATATCTACATTTTCCATGTAAATGGTCCACATTGTATTGCTGTGTTACTAACAACGTGTATTGTAAATGCTTACTTGTGTTTTGTTTTTTTTTTTTTTTTTTTGCAATATGTCAGTTTTTGTACAATGTATTATCTCCGTTACTAGTTGGAAAAATGACCTATTTGTTTGAGAATTAATGTCCTTGATAGCAAACAAAATATAAAAAAAGAAAAAAAAAAGAAATAAATAGACACATTACCTCAATATGAGTTATTTTCTTTGTGATTGTACCATTAAAAAAGTCATCTTATTTACAGGCAAAATTCTTTGTGGTTACTGCTGTGTAAATGGAATTTAGCTGTCATATGGCAGGTCAATGGTTATTTCATAATGGATTTACTGAAATGTTTTAGTGCTAAGAACATTTCTTTAAAGTTGCTATTAATATTATAACTACAAAGTCATCCCATTTAAAAAGGCTGGACCAGTTCTACATTTACAAGCCTTTTTACTTTTGTTTTTATTGTGCTTACAAATATCAAATAAAACCAATAAAAAAAAATTTCACTTTGAAGTCCAGGTTACATTTACATGAATTGTTTATTAAAGTTAGCTGATATGAATAAAAAGTTTCAACTAATGTACCGTATTTGCCGGCGTATAAGACGACTTTTTGACCCTTGAAAATCTTCTCAAAAGTCGGGGGTCGTCTTATACGCCGGTACACATGTTAGGGGGGCTGCGGCATTAAGTACAGGGGTTTGCAGGGGCTGACGTCTCTTACCTGGATCCAGTCCCACGACGATCCGGTCCAGGAAGCGCGGCGTCTCCTTCAGTTCGGCCACTGGATGTTCGTGCGGCTGCGCGGCTCCGCCTCCTCACCGGTGATTGGCCGCCAGAACTGTAGCTCAGGAAAGGCACACAGGCGGCCAATCACCGGTGAGGGGGCGGAGCCGAGCGGCCCCGCGAAAATTGAGTGCCGGAGCAGCAGGTAAGTGCTCTGTGTAGAGGTGCTGCAACCACATATGCTGGCTGCAGCAGCACCGTACTAGAACAGGGTCAGCAAGTGTCAGTGGGAGGAATAGTGCCCCATCATTGGTGTCACTGATACCAATGATGGGGCACTATTCCTCCCACTGATACCAACGATGGGGCACTATTCCTCCCACTGACACCAACGATGGGGCACTATTCCTCCCCCCCACTGACACCAACGATGGGGCACTATTCCCCCCCCCACTGACACCAACGATGGGGCACTATTCCTCCCCCCACTGACACCAATGATGGGACACCATTCCTCCCACTGACACCAATGATGGGGCACTATTCCTGCCACTGATACCAATGATGGGGCACCTATTCCCCCCACTGATACAATGATGGGGCACTATTCCTCCCACTGATTCCAATGATGGGGCACTATTCCTCCCACTGACATCAATGATGGGGCACTATTCCTCCCACTGACATCAATGATGGGGCACTATTCCTCCCACTGGTGTGCATTGGAAGAGGGGTAGTCTTATACAGCGAGTATAGCCCAAACACTACATTTTAGCAGGAAAAGTAGGGGGGTCGTCTTATACGCCCAGTCGTCTTATACGCCGGCAAATACGGTATTCTAACTGCAGAACATGTATACTTTATTTTGAGACAAAGTCATAGATATCTCTATATACTAATATAGAGTAATTACATGTAATGTATTCAGTCCATTTTGCCCAGCATAAAGCAATGCACCCACCCCAGTTTTTTCATCTGATTTATTTTTATCTGTCATTTTTGAAAGAGGTATTTGTTTAGGTCATGAATATGAGGTATTGGTGGCTCTCATATACAATATGACCTATCATTACATGCATTGATAAAACCAAAGATCACTTTTCTGTAACTCTATATGTAGGACCCCCCAAAAACTCCAGCAGTATGTCTGATATATTACACTCCCAGCCTTGCTCTGCACTGAGATTTTCCAGCCCATGGTACAACAATTTACGCACCAGCAGACTGAGATTTGTCACTGGGGCAGGTTAACTTGAAGTTATCCAAATTCACACACATGTGGTTGTTGCCATCTCATGTTTTAAAGGAAACAGGCAACATCTGCTATTGTAATTTGGAACTTTTAAAAGAAATGCCTGCATCATTTGCTGCCATGCTAAGACAGGAATGTAACAGAGTTTTCAGTACAGTAGCTCTTTATGGATGCCAAAATCTATAGTTGCTGATAAGAGCATTCAGAGAGTCAGACAATAAGCAACAGTAAAATAAATAGGATTAAAAGTGAATACAATTCTCCTGGTCTTTTCTTCTATGCAGAGTAAATCCAATCTGATATATCAGAGTAACTGACTCTTATACGTGGTGCTTAGTAATCCTTCACAGGTTCGATTGTACCAAAGAGCTACAGAGAATATACAGTCATTATTTCTGGTCCATTGCGAGGGTATTTCAGGCATGACACAACCAATCGCACAGTCTGAAGGATGTGCTGAAGTTATATTGTTTTATTATGTTTCACTGGACTCTCTCTTACTGCCACCTATTATGTTTCTTTTAGGAAGCGTAGTGTGTCCCCTCAGCCGTAAGCACCTGATAATGATTGTTATTTTCTTATATTTTAGCATAACAACTTTTTTTGAAGAAATCTCTATTACAGTCAGAATTATTAAAAATTAACCAGAATTGTGCTTTGGTAGTTGATAAAACCCAGACCAGAGTATGTATTTGCACAAGCCATGAAACAGACTGTTTTATATGGAATTTCCAATAGCCATTTATGAACAGGCTGCATTAAGAAGATTTACAGATCATGCATATTCTAAGATGTTTTTGCATTACTTTCTAGCTGACCTTCTTTTTGTCAATGTGTTTGAACTGGTTGTTCCTTTTACTAAATGAATTACCTCCCATAAATGCCTAGCACAGACGTGAGATTTAATTTTTAACTATTTGTGCCATTAGTGAGTGAATTTTGGAAAATGAGGGTGGCAGTGTGTGCAGAATGATTTCCCCATTCTCTCCACATAGTTTGGGGTCAGCTACTGTGGCAAACAGAAATTAATCCAGGGGACATTTGAAGTTCTTCCTACAGAACAGCATTGACCTACATGGCAATTTTCCCTGTAAATAAAATGAAGTGCTAATGAGATGCATATCTAATGGTCATTTCTCCATGGCTCTTACAATGGTTATGTGTGGCTGTCTTAATTTGATTTCTTCCTTCTGTGTCCTCCCTCTCTGTGTTGTATCTCATGACTGTTCTGGATTGTCAATTGCGGTAGGTTTTTTTTTCCTGTTTGGATAAACCATAGACAGTGAAAACATTTTGTGATTAGTTGTCTTGACAGCTGGGGCTTCTCAATTGAGATTAATCCACTGCTTAACACTGCTTAATACATCAAGAGGCTGAACTAAATTGATTTTATTCAAACAGAGTTTATCCCCACAAATGCAAACAGAATTGCATTAGAAGGCTAAAATTGTGTAATTGCTGCAAATAATTAACATTTATGATATAAAAGGTACAAATCAATCATGTAGCCCATGTTCATTTCTCCCTAATATTATTTGATTTAAGGCCTGATATTTATACTACCTAATGAGATTACAACTGACTAAGGTCAGCAATAGATAGATAGATAGATAGATAGATAGATAGATAGATAGATAGATAGATAAATAGATAAACAGATTCAAATATATATATATATTCTTTTTTAAATCAACACGTGAGGTGTTCAAATATATATTTTCTAATATATACTTTCTCCTAAGTAATAGCCCATGAATCTCAATATGAGACCCATTTCTTCACGAAGAACCAACAACAAACCGTAAACCAGGACAATTGTGTGAACTTTGCCTTTGTCACACCCATGATAAAGCAACCAGAAAACAGATTCTAGAATTAGGCATTGTGGCAAAAGTAAAGTTTTTATCTGGAAACACACAGGAAAATATTTATTGGGCATATTTGGTAAGCAGTGCAAATTCAATATCTAATCTACATTCACTTTACTGAAACAACCAAAGTAATAATGGCAACCACTCAGATTAACCTATGCCTAGCAAAAGTAAAGCACACATATGCAGGACAGTTTACAGAACAATACACTACAAAAAAAAATATCCAGCACATTTTCCAGCTAATCAGTGTGATTTCACTACATTTAGCATTAAACAACTAAGGTTTTTGCTGCATACATTTACAACATATGGGACATATATGAAAGGGACACACCAGAACAAAGGGGCCCATTCAAAGGCAGCTGAGCACCACCAGTGTGTATCAGTATCAAATTCAACAAGAAAAAAGGAAAAGGGCAACCACTCAGGTTAATTTATACCAAGCAGATGTAAGGTGCATATGGGCAGCAAACTTCATAGAACAATATAGGTTTTATTGTATTCACTGAAGCAAGACCATGCCAATGCATTGGCAGTCATGGGTACTTAATCCTTGCAAATTTTAATAAATAACCCAGTAATTTTTTGTTGGGGGGGAGAGAGAATTATAGGAAAGTATTAAATTACTGCAGACCTCTGTAAAGGTTTTAAGGCTATAACATAACATAGACGATCTTCAACATGCTATTGGCTTTGTGAACAATTCATTGAAACCTTTGTTGAAGACCAAATGGTTTCTGAGTGATTTGAATGCTCTGTATTGTAAAACTGCAGTTTTGCCCAAAAGACTAAAACATGTCAATAAAAAAGGCATTTAACATTTTGGCAGTTGTAGGACAGTGCTTTGCCAGATATATTCCTTAGTTAACATTTATCATGAACTTTTTTACTGTTGTTGTTTCATTTGCTGAATAGCTTCTTGGCAAATATCACTAGTTCTGGAGCCAAATCATGTTGAGCATTCCAGCAAAAATATTATGCTAAAATGTACTCCTCTTATCAGGCAATCAATAGAATGGATTTAATACACTGTGTTTTATGAACATGGTTGACTTGGTGCTCATTATGTAGATATGCCAAGGCCTTAGATGAAATCTAGGTCTTTTTAGACAGGTCTGTGCACCACATAAATATGAGCACAGCCTGCTCACTAAACCTGTGGTCACCAGTCACTTAATTCATAGCCATCACAGAATAGATATTCACCAGAATTTTAAACAGCAAGTTATTCACTTGTTTAGAGTCCAGAGTGGACTGGGAAATACAGCAATACTTTGATAAGGGGTTCATTTTAAAGAAACATTTTTGAAAAAGGAGTTATTTAAAACCAAATTATGATTAATTTCAGACAACTTTGTGCATCCCTTGTATAAATAACCAAATGTTTGTACTTACAGTTGGATAGCTACAAATATAAATTATCTCATGGCCAGACAAAGGAAGACAAAAACATACAGATTGTAAAGAATAAATGTTTTTAGAGTGCAGCAAGAACACAGAAGCCTCCCATTACTAGTTGAAAATGTAAAACTTAATCTCCAACTAACTAAATTGCAAATGGATTACTTAATTACCAAAAAAAAAATCTTATTTACTGAAATATTATGATTGTTCAATTAATTTAGATCAGCCTGGCTTTACCTAAAAAATAAACTTATTAGAGTAGACAAACCTTTATTCCATGAGCTTCCATTCTATATAATAGCATGTTGTACTTTTGAGCTGCATATGTACCCATGGTTGGCACTTTCATACTGACAAATATCATACAGACACGAGAAGCTGGCAGCTAAATTTTTTTGAATGAGGCCTGATATATTGCATGCGGTAATGTTATAAATTTGGTATGTTACTTTGTAATGAGAACTTTTCTTGTCATACCTCTATCAGCATGTTCACAAAGCTTAAATAAAGTATGTTTAAATCTCCTATACTTACTAAAATATAACATACATTATTAGACATATTATTTTTATCTGCCTGCTTTTTTCTAAAAAAAATATATATTTTGCTGCTTGTTGAGCATATATATTATTTAAATGGACAGGTACAACCATAATGAGGATTTTCCTACTTTGAGTTAGTTAATGTTATATTTTTTAAGAAGCTCAGTAATGTCATACATTTTCTTGCCAGGCATTAAAGGATGATGATGATGATGATGCTGAGACAGGTTTAACTGATGGAGAAGACAAGGAGAAACCAAAAGAAGAAGAAAAGCTTGGGAAACTGCAGTATTCTTTGGACTATGACTTTCAGAATAACCAGGTTAGATCCATGCCTTAAATTATATATTATAAGCTTTTTTAGAGGTCATTACTCTCATGAGCTGATGCATAAAGTCGGCATATTCCACACAGCCCCTATGCAGAAAAGCAGATGAATCCAATGAAATGTATGATCTTGCTCTACAAACATATATGCAATTTTGGTATTTTGCCTTCTGCTTTTTTTGCCTCTGTCTAGAAACTGCAGTTAGTCTGTAGTATTGTGTGCATGACTATTATATATTTATTATTTTCTCATATATCTTCACTCTCTAGTCCAGAAATTGCAAATACACATTCAATGGCATTAGCACTACCAGTAATCACTTTCTTGTAAATATCTGGCACCAGTCAATCCAAACCTATGCCATAACCATTAATACAGTAATGGTCTCATCAGTGTCTTGTCCTTATACAGAATGTTTTACATCAGTTGTTACCTGACTACATAGCCACCTATGGTTCTCTTCATAGACTGAACTCTATATATCTACATTGTGAGAAAAGCTTTTAAAAAAAAAAAATTGCACTTAAAAGCAGGAGGTACGGCTTGCATAAGTAATGAGCACATATAACCACATTTATGTTCATATGTATATATATATATATATATATATATATATATATATATATTCAATTTTTAACCACTTGCCTTTCTGGGCATTTTTACCCCCTTCCTGCCTAGGCCAATTTTCAGCTTTCAGGGTTGTCGCACTTGGAATGACTATTGTGTGGCCATGCAACACTGTACCCAAACTACATTTTTATCCTTTTTTGAGACAAATAGAGCTTTATTTTGGTGGTATTTATTCACCACTGGGGTTTTTATTTTTTGCTAAACAAACAAAAAAGACCAAACATTTTGACAAAAAAAAGGTTTTTTTTAGTTTCTGTTATAAAGTTTTGTAAATGAGTGATTTTTCACCTTTAGTGATGAGGCTGCACTGATGGACACTGATGGGCACTGATGAGGAGGCACTGATGAGGCTGCACTGATATGCAGATGCGGCACTGATGGGCACTGATAAGAGGCTCTGATGGGCACTGATAGGCAGCACTGATGGGCATTGATAGGTGGCACTGATGGGCACTGATAGGTGGTGCTGATGGGCACTGACAGACATCACTGATGGGCACTGAAAGCCAGCACAGATGGGCACTGAAAGCCAAAACAGATGGGCACCCATAGCCAGCACAGATGGGCACTGATGGGCACTATTGGGTGCACTGATGGGGCTACATTGATAATCATGGCACTGATAATCAGTGCCCCCTGATGATCAGTGTGATGTCACCCTGAGAAATGCTGCTTACTGGCTCTGGCCTCTCCTCATGCACTGTCAGCATGAGGAGAGGACTGCTGATAACCGACATTTCCTATTTGCACTGTGATCAGCTGTGATTGGACACAGCTGGTCACATGATAAAAGGCGGCTCCGATTGGCCCTTTACTTGGACACGTGATCACAGTGCATGGAGTGCATGGAGGGTGTGGTTCTGGGAGGACGTCTATAGATGTCCTCTCAGAACTAGCCAACCATGCTGTAGCTGCCTTTTGGCTATGAGGTGGTCTGGAACTGGTTAAATAGAAACAGGTTTTATAAAACAATAACTCCTATTGGAAAGATTGCTTAAATCAAGCCATAGCTGTTAATCTACAAATAGGGTCAGGGCCTCCACCCACTACCATTGGTCTCTGATGATCAGGATGCATTTCTTTTAAAGACACTATGAGGTTGATTTACTAAAGGCAAAAAAAGCTGTTCACTTTGCTAGGAAAGTTGAATTTTGCAAGGGAATTTTACCCAGAGCTCAGTGAATGTACGGTAGTTGAATTTCACTTTGCAAAGAATACCCAATCACATGTAAGGAAAATAAAAATATGGCATATGTGCTTGCATGTGATTGAATGATGGAAGGCTGCAATGCTGCTTTTCTGTGGGGAAAATGTCCTTGCAAAGTAGAACTTCCTCTGCAAAGCGAACACACTATTTGCCTTTAGTAAATTAACCCCAGTATATCAGATGCTGGCACCAATTGTCCCAGTCCATTAGCATAGATGTTAATAAATAAATAGTCTCATCAGAGTCTGGTTTATGTATGAAAGGCCTCAGAATACATACATTTTAAGGACACCAAGCATCAGGCGCAGCTGTGCTCACATTTACCAAAACATTGCACACTATAGCAAGTCCAAAATGAAGTATACCTGAAAGATTTTAGATATGACATACTGGACAAATACTTAGTTACATGTATATAATGATTTGAAACATCATCAATAGCATAGTTTCGTTAGATTCAGAAATTTATTTTTTCGTGGTTGAGTGTGTTTGTTTCTAAATACAAATGTGGTTATTTGAAAGACAGGAAACAGCCTGTAATTTTGATTTAACATGAGTACATTTCAAATGAAGGAAATCCAGAAGCCTGCAGATCAAAGAGACCTCATCTTAATGTTCTATGCCAATGCAGGAGCACAATTTCTCTGTTCCCTTTCATTGTGACTGACCACTCAATACTCAGAGAATATCATTAAATCAATGGGGGACTTTATAAACCTCAAACAGCTTATTCCTGCCAAAGAATAATATGTGGAAGAAATTGGTCCTTAGAAACACATTTCACTTTCTCTGCAGATGAAAACAAACTGGTGAACTTTATTGAAAGAAAGCAGTTGTTCTGCTTCTTGTTGCTACAAAGTCAAATAAAAAGTCATTGAACTCCCCTACTGGGTAAAGTGTGTGCAGAACAATTGAACTGTATTTAAGAGCCATATTGTAAATATACAGGCTTGTGCCAGTAATACACTGAAACAGTTTCAGTGACCGTAGCTTTTAAATAGGAGATGCAATAGTATTGAATATACACATATAGCTACAGGAAAAAGCAGGTATGAGGTATGGATGATAGATCTCTGCAAACCTTTTGTGTGACTGCAAACATTCATTTATTCTGACTTTTTAAGGTACTCTGTGCTGTACTATTGTGCTACCAAACTTGTCTGCCTCCAGCATATCCTGTGTAATACAATAAAAATTGTATCGTTATTGCCAGGTTGTACTTTACGTTATAGCTACAAATAATACATTAAATTAAATTATTGATATCTGCAGATAGACCCTTTGCAGAGTAAGATCTGCTATGGTGTATTCACAATAAAAAGTGGCAAAAATAAAAAGATCGTATTAAAACAAAAGCAACAGTGGGCGCCGCCATCTAAGTTTAGATTTACTTGAAACAATAAAAATAAGTTAAAAATCGCACTCGCATTGCATAAAAAACATAAAAGCATTACTAGTCCTCTGATATCTTCAAAGCTCAGCAGAGCAGGGTAGAGCACAGTGATGCCTGCAAGTAGCTGGGCTGTATATGCAGGACACGTGGCTGGAGTTTGTAAAGCTGGATAGGAAGCGGCAATAATCGGGACCTTTGGCGGGAGCAATATTGGAGCTTCCAGCACAAGATCCCCCCACCGTGAGAACACAATGGCTCCATGGGAGGGATTCCGCCATGAACACAGTCAACCTATGGTTGCAGGAAAGAAAATCGCTCCATCTATGGCCAAATTTAGCCATCATAAGTTTTATTAATTTATGTCATCGTACTTCATGGCACCTTACAGTTGGCAAAAAGCCATTCACATAAATCTCTGTGTGCAAGACTTGGTTTTCACTTGCTTTTTCATGCATTTATATTCATGAATCAAGTCACAGTCATTTACACACAGCGAAGAGCAAAGACCTATTAACATACTGTTATGTTTTAAGAATGTAGGTGGAAACTTGTAAAACAAGCAAAATATCCCTGAATTCATAAAGGAGAATAGCATGTTCACTTCACATAACAGATAATGCTTTAGTGGGAAACAAAGCCAAGACCCCAGCATGTCCAGTGTTTATCATACATTCCAACTTACTGAGATGAAAAAGAGGGATGCCCTTTAGTGCAAAGCAGGTAGGCAAAGACCACATCTCTGTCACTTCTCCAGTTACCATGTGAATATGTAGAAAATGACCTGTTAAACCCACAAGTGCTTTTTCCCATACCCCTGTTCCTTTATTCTTGCTTTACAAAATAACAAATAATGCAATAATTCTGAGGCTGGATGAAAGATTTAGTGTGGTATATCAATTCAGAAGTTAAAAAGTGAATTTTGATATAGAGCTCTATAGATTAGACCAAAAAGAGGGACAACAGAGGAGGAAAGAGGGAAAAAAAAGGATTTGGTTCCAAAAAAGGACAGTCCCCTCAAATGAAGGAAATGTGGAAGCTTTGGAGTTTGTGTCAAATGCAGATACAATTCTACAAAGATGTGTGGATATTGGGCAAAAACACTTGAATAATAGGCCCTGTAATGTATTTTCTATATTTATTTCTTATAACATCTAAGAATTATATATATATAAATGTATTGGGACGCCTGCCTTTACACCCACATGAACTTTAATGGTATCCCAGTCTTAGTCCACAGGGTTCAATATTGAGTTGGCCCACCCCTTGTAGCTATAATAGCTTCAACTCTTCTGGGAAGGCTGCCCACAAGGGTTAGTAATGTGTCTATGGGAATGTTTGACCATTCTTCCAGAAGTGCATTTGTGAGGTCAGGCACTGATGTTGGACGAGAAGGCCTGGTTCACAGTCTCCACTCTAATTCATCCCAAAGGTGTTCTATTGGGTTGAGGTCAGGACAGTCAAGTTCCTCCACCCCAAATTCATTTATCCATGTCTTTATGGACCTTGCTTTGTGCACTGGTGTGCAGTCATGTCGTAACAGGAAGGGGCCATCCCCAAACTGTTTCCACAAAATTGTCCAAAATCTCTTGGTATGATGACGCCTTAAGAGTTCCCTTCACTGGAACTAAAGGGCCAAGCTCAACCCCTGAAAAACAACCCCACACCATAACCCCCCCTACACCAAACTTTACACTTAGCACAATGCAATCAGGTGAGTACTGTTCTCCTGGCAACCGCCAAACCCATACACGTCCATCAGTTTGC